TACAAATAAGCTCTTTTACACTTACATAAGTAAGCAAATGCAAAACTCGTTCACACTAAATATAATTAGCAACGTATAGTTTTTTACTTTCAAGCTCAACTACTTCTACTAAACTAAGCAAACGTAATATTCTAAGCAAGTATCAACTACACTACGCCAAACAAACTAGCAAACATAAAGCTCAACCATGCCCTACTAATCTAAGCAAACATAAAACCCACACTCACTAAACTTAGCAAGCGTCAACTATACCTACACTCACACCTACTAAACTAGCAAACGTAAAGCTTAACTATACTCACTAATCTAAACAAACGTAAAGCTTAATCACACTTATACCTACACCTACTAAATTAAGCAAACACCACAGCTAATAAATTAAAAGTGAAGTTAATTGCACCTATTCAATTAAGCAAAAGCTTAAAGTTTTTTTACTACAAAGCTAAGGTAATAATAAGTTGAACACTTTTTTTTCTTATTTTTAATAAGCTTAATAATTCATGTATTTGCATATTATAGAAGTGAATACCAGAGGGTTCAAATAGAGGAAAAAGATCAATATACTTATCTTGTTACTTCTTTAGAAGGAGAATATGAATCTGTTGGTTCTCCAGAAAGAGAATATGAGCCTAATTATATTATAGGTATGAAATATAGTTTTTATTTTCAGTTTTTTTCTAGTGATCTTACTTATTTTTATTGAATTTATTTATTCTTTAGATTCTTCAGAAGAATATGAACCTACTTGTGTTGCTGGTTCTCAGGAAGAATATGTATCTACTTGTGTTGCTAGTTCTCCAGAAGGAGAAATTGTATCTACTTGTGTTCCTAGTTCTCTAGGAGAAAATAGGTCTATTTATATTACTTCTTCTTTGGAGGAACTATACAGATCTACTTATTCTACTACTTTACCTATTGGTATAACTAAAACAGGTATATTTATTATACTGTATTATAAATACAACTGTTGTTGCTCACTTTCTCGAAGTTATTTCCCTGACAAGCCATTTACTTGATATTATATAGGGTTAGGGTTAGTATTTTATTTATTTTAGACATATATTATTCGCAAATCATTATCTATATAATATCAGATAAATAGTCTTTCAAGGAAATAACTATTGAGAAAATTGACTATAACCAAATACAACAACTAAGGTGATATATGTTTATAGATTACATTTATAATAGGATTATATGTAGCTAATATAATGTGTTCTAACTTTTTAATAGAGGGTTATATTAATGAAACATTCCTTATGCGAGAAGATGAACATGCAATCCTATATTCTAGAAAAAGATTTGTATCATGGGATGTATGTGAAAGTTTTATTAATGATTAGACTAAGAAGTAGGGTTTTCGCATAGTTAGAGATCAAGTTTGTCATGAAGAAAGTATAATTCATCAACATACTTTTTTATGCAATCATAG